CTAGGACATTCTTTACAATTCACTCTCAGCAACAAGGGAGCACAGGACATTTGGAGATTACCAGTTTGTGAATCATTTTCAGTGGTGTTTTGAATTTTCAGTATCTTTTTATTTCACTCCTGTATGAGCCATATGTTTTGTTTTTCTTCCTGCCAGAGGTACTTCCCTGTATTTCAGCCTTCTTCAAACTTACTCATAATCATGAACGCAAAGAGCTCGGTCTGCTGTGACTTTTTGCAGCTAGTTCTCAATGGGAGGTATCAACAGTACAGGAAAAACTTATGGAATTAAATCTTCCAACAAAATGACATCAGATGAATTCTCTGGTTTAAAATGTGTAAGAGCTGATGAAATCATGAAGCATTTCACCCTCACAAAATTTACCGTGGGGGAGACACATGCCAGGATGGATTAGCAGTGACGGGAAGGTCTGCCATCCAGTGGCTTTTTTCCTTACTGCAGAACAGTGGCTTTGATCCACGTCACCTGCTAATTTGGATTTGTGTGTTCACCTTTGTTACCACTGTACGCAGTGGGATAACGACAGGGAGCTGGCATAGAGCCTGCATACTGAGATTCTCAGTTGTTGCAGCTCTGGGTCATGCTATTGTTGCCGTGTGTTTGCCTGCAAAAGCTTTACTACATCCAAAAGCACAGGTTCTTGTTTTCCCATTGTCAGCACATTACTGCTCCCAACAACTGCAGGGGGGCAGCTGTTTTCAGATGAGGCTCCTCCTAGTTCCAAACTGTTAGCGGGTGTGTGTGTGCATGTGTGTGTGTGTGTGTTAAATTAAATTAAAAGGTATTTAATCTGTAAAATTGTACTTGTGCTCGTGATGTAAAGCAGAAACCCCGCTGTGTTTGGGTGCACGCACAACACGTGGGTAGTCATTCCCATTTCCCGTAATACCAGCAGCGTATGGGAAGTGCTCTGAGTCAGCTGCTCCAAAGTGCTGCCAGCAGATAAAAAGCCCATTCGTCTCTAGGAAGTGCAGTGAGAACGTTGGGGAAACATCCTGCTGCAAACATGTCAGGTCTGTGATGTTTTTCTAATATTCTTGTAAATAATTTGCTGTACCAAAGTCTGTTTTCCATTAGCTGCTGGGCTCGGGTTGGCACTGTTCCTCTCAGTCACCATTCCTGTGTTTTCACGTCCGCAACAGCGTGTTTAGGCAACAGACAAAGGCAGATAAATTGCGAGTCAAAGGAACCATAAGTCAGATAAATTGTCATGGAGGTAGTTGAAGGATGTTTCTCTTTGATTTTTTCTGTTGACAGTAGCTATGGAAAAGCAAGCTGGAGGTGGTAAGTAGTGTAGGATTTCTTTTGACTCTCCCAGATTTGTTTTATATTGGAATAGAAAACTCGGCTTTTGGAGGTGCCTTTCTCAATGAGCTGTGCAGGCAGCACAAGTCACAAGCTTAGACAGCTAAGTTTTAGAGAAGCCAAAACTTGTGGAGATGAACTGTGCATGAGCTAGTTCATCTCACAAGCCACACTGTGGCTTTATGCCAGCATGACCGAGAAGTAATCCTTTCCAGAGCATACGATACCACGACCGCATCTGCTAGCATAAATGCCTGTATTAGTATCAAAATGCTGCCATGGGTTTCAGCCATGGATCCAAAACCATTTAACGGATGCGTCACACACTGCACTGGCCTGATGTTTGGTTGTAAATACTGCTCTTAGGTTGTTATGGGAATATACTGAACGTTGACACAACTGGAGCTTCGGAGGCGACCGCGAAACCAGAAGGTCTGAGCTATGCAGGTAGGCACGAATTCGGTTGTTCGTCTCCCTTACGCACAAGCTCACGCTGATCACAGATCCCAGTCTTTGGCTGCTGGTCATTGCCATGCAAGCGGATTTCTCCGCAACCAACCAAGATCCTACGTGGGCACGTAAGTTTATGTTGGGAACAGAGTTGCCTTTCAGATGTTCTAAGGAATATTCAAGAACATGACAGAGGAAATCCAAGGTCTGCTGGCTGCATCCAACCCCTGCCACTGAGCCTGCTTTTCTCTCTCTCTTAAGAGGGTTTTTCCTCGTGACCTAGGTTTCTGAACATTTCCTCATTATGGTCCTAAATTAAAAGGAACGGAATCTGGGACTAATCTACCCAAAGGCTTAGATTTAAGACAAGAAGACCCATCTTTTAGTCTGCACACTAGAGAACTGACCTCTGTATTTGAAAAAAAAAAAAAATCTTTTATATCATCTGTGTATTGATTTCTAGGGCACTTACCCTTCAGCAAAATTGGTCAATTCTATCATCACTTCTTTCTAAATAGATTCAGAATGTCAGCTCAGCCATAATGACTGTTAGAACAACTGGTTTCTGACTTCAAAAACGAAAGCAAAAGTCACGCACCTTGTGTTGTAGGAGTTCGCGCCTCAGAGAAGATTGCAGAAAGAGATTTGAAGAACATGGAGAAATACCAAGCCATGATTACAAAAGTTGGCAACAGCAAGCGTGTTGATCCAGCTGTGATTGCTGGTATTATCTCTCGAGAGTCGCACGCTGGGACCGTGCTGGAGAATGGCTGGGGAGACTACGGAAATGCGTTTGGTTTAATGCAGGTAAGGTCACAGCCTTCTTAAAAGCACACACCTCATCCTTCTTTTGAAGCAGAAAGTCAGAAGAGCAGCAGGGACTCTTGAAACGCAAGCCCCTAGACCTTCTCAGCCAATTTTTGGCCAAAATAAAGCCACTGCTGACCCAGCTGTCAGCTCGCAGTACCGGGAAGGTCCCTGGTGAGTGAGCACTCCGGGCCATGAGCCGAATGCCCTTGCACCGCGAAACTGCTGCCTGCTTCCCAGCACTCTCTTGGGAAGGAAGAGATTAATTGTTCCTATTTCATACTTTAGGGAATAAATCTTACTTCAAAAAGCTTTTTTTTTTTTTTTTTAAACTAAGCACGTAGGCCTGTGGGCTGCAGCTACATACAGTCAGGTTAATTACCCTTTATGCACCACAGGAGCCTGGCTAGTGGGGGATATGGCTTCATTATTCATGCCTACATTCACGCCTTACTTGTTTGCCAAGTTGTACAATTATCCGTACAGTCCCTAAACATTTGCTGCATGCACTGGGATTCACTTTTGTTACAGCTCCAGCCCCCTCAGACTTGTGCTTTACTACCCCATGGATAAGAGGTGGAGAAGAAGAGGAGAGGGAGAAAGGAGAAGGAGGAAGGAGAAGAGCAAAACTGAGGCAGAGATTAAGGGGAGATCCATAGAGGAAGCAGGGGTTTTCCCACCCTGGATAGAGCTGGGGAAGAGAGGAGCAGTCATCTTGCAGCTGCTAAAGCTTAAGCAGCACTAAGCCCACATTCTGCACCCAGACACCTTTACAGCAGCATCTGTGCTGGTTGTTAAGGCTCTGACAGACAAGGAGGTGGGGCAGGCATTACTCTTCAGTGCCCGAGTAGTCTGCTATTCCCACATCTGCTGGCATCACTTTGAGCTGAGCTTGCTTCAGAGAATCACAGACTGGTTTGGGTTGGGAGGGACCTTAAAGACCATCCAGTTCCAACCCCCCTGCCATGGGCAGGGACACCTTCCACTAGACCAGGTTGCTCAAAGCCTCGTCCAGCCTGGCCTTGAACACTTCCAGGGATGGGGCATCCACAGCTTCTCTGGGCAGCCTGTGCCAGGCACTCACCACCTCTGCGAAGAATTTCTTCCTGATATCCAATCTAAACCTCCCCACTTTCAATTTAAATCCATTACCCCTTGTCCTGTCACTACAGGCCCTTCTAAAAAGTCCCCCCCAGCTTCCTTGTAGGCCCCTTCAGGTACTGGAAGGTGCCGTAAGGTCTCCCCGGAGCCTTCTCTTCTCCAGGCTGAACAAGCCCAACTCTCTCAGCCTGTCCCCATAGCAGAGGTGCTCCAGCCCTCTGAGCATCTTCGTGGCCTCCTCTGGACTCGCTCCAACCAGTCTATATGCTTCTGATGTTGAGGGCTCCACAGCTGGATGCAGCACTCCCGGTGGGGTCTCACAGGAGCAGAGCAGCGGCGGGCAGAATCCCCTCCCTCGACCTGCTGGCCACACTTCTCCGGATACAGCCCCGGATACCGTTGGCTTTCTGGGCTGCCAGCGCACACTGCTGGCTCATGTCCAGCTTTTCCTCCACCAGTACCCCCAAGTCCTTCTCCTCAGGGCTGCTCTCTATCCACTCTCCACCCAGCCTGTCCTTGTGCTTGGGATTGCCCCAACCCAGGTGCAGGACTTGCACTTGGCCTTAGCTTGGCCTTGGCCTCAGCTTGGCCTTGGCCTCTTCTCTATACAATCACAGAAGAGGTAAACCATGAGATTAAAGATCAAAATGAATACAAGCAGCCTGTAAGCAACAAAGAGCTCTAAATAGCGGTGTTTCTCACGTGCTGATATTGCTCTCTCCATTCCAGGTTGACATACGCTACCATAACGTTGTCGGGTCATGGGACAGTGAATTGCACTTAATGCAAGGCACAGAGATTTTATGTGGGATGATAAATGAAATCCAGAAGAAATTCCCAACGTGGACAAAGGAACAGCAGCTCAAAGGTAGAATTTTGTCAGCTTTAAAACGTTTCACACGTAGAAGCCAATCACAGTAATGCTATAAAACTGAACACTTCGTAAAACTGAGCACTTTATAAAACTAAACACATCCCAGTCCCCCTGTTCGTTTTACTGAGCTGTGGAACGATACTCCTTGACACTCACTAGAAGGAACAGCGGAGTAAGATGCAGTTAGCTCTCCAGCCGGCTTTTGGAAGTCGTAGCAGATTTTATGACATTTTTCAGTTGCAAGGAGTAAGGGTGGGTTCATCTCCACCTCTCTTAATTTCGTTTGTTCTGTGTTTCTACACTCACCTACAAAAAGCTACTACCCTGGCAATTGAAACGAAGGAACACAATGATTTTGAAGATGTATGGTCCTCTCTGAAGTAAAAATAGTTATATTCTTGAGTTATATTCAAAGGCATCGTGGCCGGATCCCCTTGATCCAACAACACAAATACATCTGAGGTTATTAACACAGGTGGACATGATGGAATATGCACAAAAGGAAGTAGTCGTGCAACTGAAGATGTTACCGTAGTAAAACACAGCGAGGGGGGACAATGAACCCCAAGTCTGGACATAAAGGAGGAAATAACGATTTCTTCACAAAGTAAAAACACAAAAGGAACAATTCGGTGACAGAAATGGCTGGAAACAGTAATACAGTACTGTTGAAAAGAGAGTTGCAAACTAAAGCACCACATTTAAATGGTGGGTTTTGTTTGTTTGCTTACTTACTGACACAGTATCACCTCTGTTTATGTGTTTCACACTCACTTCAGGTGGGATCGCAGCCTATAACACGGGACCTAACAATGTCCGGAGCTACGACAGGATAGACGCTGGCACAACACACAATGACTACGCCAACGATGTGGTTGCAAGAGCCAAGTTTTATAAGAGAAATGGATACTGAGATATTTGAGTGATTATTAGATTTGAGTCACTGATTGCATATTTTTCTGCTAACTTAAAAAAAAAAAAATCCTTCATTTCTCCCACAGAAACAGTAAGAATGGAGGAGAGCAAGGAAGCCAGAAACAAGTGCAAGCTTTCAATAGTTTTTTTTTAGCTAAGGCTACAAAAATCACTTTAAAAATCACTTTAAAAGTCACTGCTAATAATCCAAACTGCAAACCATCTTTTGCCACTTATTTTATCTCACTTAGCGAGAATAATCAGGCAGAATTTTCACCTGCGCTTGCAGTTTCTCAAGAAGCACATTAATGCTGCAAAAAAGTCGTAATACCACTTTACAAGATTTCACCTTCCTTAGATTCCACCTGTCAATACATGTGTTTAACAGCAGTACAAAATTGGTTGTTAATAATTTGCCATTTTGGAACTGAATATTTGCAATAAATATTGCATATGTTTAACCTACCAGAAGAGTTTATCACAGTATATCATAGACTTTCAGAATAATTCCTATGAACTTTGGTGGTGTGACCCCAAAGGGGCTGTGTCTTGTGACATGAGGGAAAATCCCAAGCTATCCTTAACTCTTTTTGCCCTTGATATTACTTGATTTTAGCCTTTACAGTTGCAAACAAGGGCCTGTAGTGACAGGACAAGGGGTTTAAATTAGAAGTGGGGAGGTTTAGATTGGATATCAGGAAGAAATTCTTCACGCAGAGGCTGGTGAGTGCCTGGAACAGGTTGCCCAGAGAAGCTGTGGATGCCCCATGCCTGGAAGTGTTCAAGGCCAGGCTGGATGAGGCTTTGAGCAACCTCGTCTGGTGGAAGGTGTCCCTGCCCTTGGCAGGGGGGTTGGAACTGGATGGTCTTTAAGGTCCCTTCCAACCCAAATCAGTCTGTGGTTCTATGAAACAACCCGTAAAACTCAAGCTGCTGTAATGAATCCTTCTATCGAAGCTATATATGAGCTTCAGTGCCGAGTCTGGAATAAGAATATGCACATTCCATCATGCTTTTACAATAGCATGTAGTTTCTAACATCTGATGCAAGTTCATGCACAATAAACAGATCCTTTTAATCGATCTTATAGTAAAGCTTTTGGGGAGCCTTAGCATCAGAGTTGTTTGGTTCGATTTAGCCATTTCAAGACACAAGGGAGAAAAGTGTTAAAAAAGAATCTACAAGCGTATTGCTAAGGGCTAAAGAGAAATAACCAAGGGGGAAGGGGGGGTTTGTTTGTTTGTAATATGGTGCATTTTTTGTAGCTAGTATTTTGCACCTGTGATCAAAAATATCCTGATACTATTACTAGAATTGTATTATCTACCACACTACAGTATTAATTACCAAATCTGAAACAGTGTGAACCTGCAATAGCACAGAAACACAAATTTATTCTTAAAACAGTACATTTCTACATTGTTACCACGCATTGCACCACAGATTTGTTCAAACCTACTTTAAATGCCACAGCAGGTAGACACGGCAAATGGTTCCTGCCCAAGAAGCAAGTTCAGCGTGAGCCACCTGCGTGCCCAAGCAGCAAAGGCAGCAAAGGGCACCCTGGGCTGGATGAGCAGAAGCACAGCGTGACCGAGGGAAGGGATAACACACCTCTACTAAGCACTTGTTAGCCCACATCGAGAGTAGTGTCCAGTTTTGGGCCCCTCCAACACAAGAAAGAACAATTAAATATAATGAGGTCAGCACAGAGCCACCAAGGCGTCTGGGACCAAGGCTATTGCTCCCAAGAAGGGACAGCTTTGGGTGTCCCTAACAGCAGCCTCACAGCACCTGCCTGGGAGGGATCAGAGATGGAGCCAGGCTGGCTCCTCACAGTAGCGCAAGGTGGGAAGAGAAGTGACAACAGGCATGAGCTGAAAGAAGAGAGGTTCAGGCTGGATACAAGACTGTGTTCTGCATATAACCTTTTCCCCATGAGGGCAGGCAGGCAGCAGAGCAGGCTGCCCAGGAAGGCTGAACTGTCCCTGTCCTCAGAGGTTTTCAAGACCCAGCTGGACCAAGTCCTGAGAAACATGGTCTGAGCTCAGTGCTGGCCCTGTGTTGAGCTGGTTGGACTCGAGACGTAGGAAGTACCTTCCAGCCTGCCTTTTGCTACCACCTTAAGTCAGCCTGTTTGTTCCCTGCGCAAAAGGGCAGCACCTCTTACCTGTGCTTCATGAAGATTTACTCGAAGCACTTACAGTGCTCCATAATGAAAGGATGTGGACATACACCGTGTTTGTGCACCCAGCTGGTTCAGATTTAAAGCCGAGAGCAAATCTTTAGAGAACATATGCTAATGCAGAGAAGGTTTGGGATAGCAGATTGACTGTATGACATTTGTGACCTTGAAGGAAGCACCATTTCAGAAACACCCGAACCTACACATATATTAAAAATGTTAAGAAAATACAATTTCCTTTTTCATGAAAGCTGCCAGCTTGTCAATGAAAGACAGCTCTAAACACCTCTTGTAGCTAAATCTTACCCAGAAATAACAGGTACTATCTAAAGCTTTTCCTCTTGTGTGTTTGGGAAGCAGTTATTAACTCCGCTCTAACTCAGCAGTTCATCACACGCTTTTAAAGCTGTGCACAGTACCAAGCAAGCTTGTTCATTAACACACTCTGTGGTTTGCATTGCAGTACTTTTGAGGTTGTAGAAACTGTATAGCATAATGGAGACCCATATTCATACGCACGCTGTGCATGAGGGAACTGGCAGCGCTCCCTCTGTTGGAGCTTCACCAGGTTGCAGTGCCGTGGACACAAACCCCAGACGTGCTTGGTAAGGCTGAGCCATCCTGGTTTTGGTGCTCTGGGCCACCAAGCCTGGTACAAGACTTACATTTGCTATCCTCCAGCTACGTGACCCGCTTGCCTAATTTTCCCAGCCCTAGTACTTGTGCTATCTCTTTTAAATATGCCCTGTACCTTGGATGCACTACACGTCCTTCAAAAGGGCTGAAACTCCAGTTTCACTATGCACCTCCCCGTGGGAGCATGGTCACCACCACGCAGGCTGGAGTTACAACACACTGTAGTGCAAGGCGCTATGCAGATACTGGAGGAAAGGAGGGAGGGAGGGAAGGAAGAAAAGCAACTTTCATTTATCTGTTTTACTTTTTCCTTGCTATTTGATATACCTCAGACAGAAAAGACTGGTGTCAGTGTTCTTCCCACTAAAGCCTGTGCCTTGTTTACAAATTGTGGTTTTTCAGCTCAATTTTTTATTTCTGCCTTTAGCCTGTTAATAGGAGCCATTAGCCTTCAATGCCACCCCGACAAGCCTCTCCTTTTTCTTTCTCCTGCACACAGTGCCTCCAGCTTTTATGTCCTTCTGCTGATGTGCCTACTCCTTTGAACTCCTACTGGTGTTTACTCGTCCCTGCAAGCATGCGGAAAGCATAAACATTCATTTCCAGCGACTGCATCCCTCTGATCTTCTGACAACATACAGTCATTAAGATTAACTCCTGTACAATGTGTCTAGCATGGGAGAGGCTCTCAGTGTTAAACTATGGAAATTATGCTCCCTGGAATGAAAACGACTTTATCATTTGATACAGCAGCAGCTTCCTAACTCTAGCCACAATTCTTAAAACTGTAAATAAAAATATGCACACAGTACTATTCAAGATCCTTCAGTAAAAGGTGTCATTTTATAAGCCTGCAGCCCATAATTACTAATTTGCAGCAAAGAGGTATGCTTCAGGGTTTCCAGATTTCTAAAGCCTGCAATTTTGGAAGAGGAAAAGCATCAACTTTCACACAGACTGCAGCTCTTTAACTGTTATCATTAAACATTTAGGACCAAGAAATGCGTATGAAGCGGGACACCATGTTTCCAGAAAGACCAATCGGACCACTTACCAAGATATGAATCACCCCTTTTGTCTCTCCTAAAGGGGGAGTTCAGGTACTTTTTAAGCTACGGAAGAGGCCACGTGATGGCCTGTTTGCTAAGCAACAGGCACGAAAGCTGGGTGACCAAGGCAAGTCACCCAAACACCTGCCTCAATCAAATGACACTCATGGCGGACGGCCAGTCGATTCTCACGTAACTGGTAAACAAAGGGCTTTTCAATCCCAGTTCCTTCCTTCGCGCAGTGAAGGTGAAGTCCTACAACCTCACTGTAAGCCTCTGCTGTTAGCCGGGAAGTGTCCTCACCACCATTAGTCACATCTACTCACTTCTCTGCTTGGCTGACTTTGTAAATACAGTTCCCTAACAGCTAGTCCTAAACTGCAGTAATCTACTCACAAAGTTAAAAACACAAGGAAAGCAGCCTGTCACCCATTTAGCATTTCAGGCAAACATTACCAATACTGAATTACATTTGCACACATGTAATCCTTCTTTAAGCGTCAGTGTCACTCATCCCAGAGAGGGTAAGAATTAAGCTTACATTAAATACACAAACTCTTAACTCAGGAGTTAAATTATTTATTTCCTAAAACATAAATCCAACCAGCACACACCTTATGACTTAATTCCCTTCTGCTCCACAGGTTTCAGATGCCGTTTAATGACAAGCTCTCCCTTGCTCGTAAGAAAGGTGTCCGACATCTCCTCTTCCGTGGGCAATCCGTAAGGTAGCTTCAGCGGCTGTATTCTACAGGCAAAGAGGTTGCTTAGTGAAGTCCTATGACTAGGAGAGAGTTACATTAAGTGTTCCAAATGAAACTAACAGTTAACCAACCTTATCAGATGTTTAATGACTTTTAGTTTGGAATTCACAGAAGGGATATTTTTGTGCAGTATTGGCTGATGTGCCTACATAAAGAACAGAACAGGTTTTACAAATGCACTGCCAAACCCCAAATCTCTGTTCACCTTATTTTTCACACTATCAGTAAAAATATAAACCACATTTGCAAACATAAGACCTAGAGAAATGTCAAGAACTTACATTAAAAAGTGAAATCAAAACTTGATTGAATTTGATTCCAGTAAAATGACAAATTCAGCTTTATTCCCATTACATTATCAAT